CGGCGCCGCCGCTGCCCCCGAGGTAGCGCACGACTTCCCGCAGGCTCCGCCGCCCGGGAGCCGCCGCTGCCGCCGCCGCCACAGCCGCCGGCGCCGCCACAGCAGCAGCAGCCGCCGCCGCCGCAGCCACAGCAGCCGCCGGAGGGGGGCGCGGCGCGGGCCGGCGGCCCGGCGCGGCCCGTGAGCCTGCGGGAAGTCGTGCGCTACCTCGGGGGCAGCGGCGGCGCCGGCGGCCGCCTGACTCGCGGCCGCGTGCAGGGGCTGCTGGAGGAAGAGGCGGCAGCGCGGGGCCGCCTGGAGCGCACCCGCCTCGGAGCGCTCGCGCTGCCCCGCGGGGACAGGCCCGGACGGGCGCCGCCGGCCGCCAGCGCCCGCGCGTCGCGGAGCAAGGTGAGCGCGCCGGGGAAGGGGGGGGGTGCCGCGCGGTAGGCAGGTGCGGGCGAAGTTGGTGGCGGGGCGCGAGTCCCGGGAGGAATCGGGCGGCGGGCGGCCCTGGCTTTTCGCGTCTTAACTGCGGGTTCGGCGCATGGTGACCTTGGCAAGTGACTTAATCTTGCTGAGCCTCAGTTTCCTCCGCTTGTAAAACGCGACTTAATAGCAGTAGCGACCCCTTGAGGTTGTTGAGCGAGTTTAGTGAGATTTGGCTACTGAGGGCTTTATTAACACAGAGCCTGGCACGGGCTGAATGCGTAAAAGTTAGTCCGTGTTGATATTAAAGGTGCGTGTTAAGCACACCACCCGGTCCTGGATCCCAGGGACTGGGCCCAGGGCCAGAACAGCTACTAACCTTTCCTGCCTCTCTCCCCGGCACCAGAGAGGTGGAGAAGAGCGAGTGCTTGAGAAGGAAGAGGAGGAAGAAGACGAGGAAGACGAGGATGACGAGGATGATGTGTCTGAGGGCTCAGAGGTGCCTGAGGGTGACCGTCCAGCAGGTGCCCAGCACCACCAGCTTAATGGCGAGCGAGGCCCTCAGAGTGCCAAGGAGAGGGTCAAGGAGTGGACACCCTGTGGACCCCACCAGGGCCAGGATGAAAGCCGGGGGCCGGCACCTGTCAGTGGTACCCGCCAAGTGTTCTCCATGGCAGCCATGAATAAGGAAGGGGGATCAGGTAAGGATCTCTCTGAGTTGGGGGGTATTGCCTGGTGGGGAGGAACTGAGCCCCAAGACAAAGCCACAGGCATATGTGTTTTCTTTCCCAGCCTCTGCTGCCACTGGGCCAGACTCCCCGTCCCCTGTGCCTTTGCCCCCAGGAAAACCAGCCCTACCAGGGGCCGATGGAACCCCCTTTGGCTGTCCGTAAGTTGGGGTATTTGAGACACGGGGGTGTTGCCTTCATGGGTGTAACAGAACCGGGGGAGTATCGCTTCTCACTGGTTCCCTCTGTTCTGACACAGCTCCGGGCGCAAAGAGAAGCCGGCTGACCCCGTGGAGTGGACGGTGATGGACGTGGTTGAGTACTTCACCGAGGCCGGCTTCCCAGAGCAGGCAACAGCTTTCCAAGAGCAGGCGAGTTCCCAGCCCTCGGTGTGCCCCTCTATTCCAGGGCCTCAGTGGGGGTCAGCTCTCACCCTGCTCTCACCCTGCTCGCTCTCTCTCTGTCCCACCCAGGAAATCGATGGCAAGTCTTTGCTGCTCATGCAGCGCACAGATGTGCTGACTGGCCTGTCCATCCGCCTGGGCCCAGCCCTGAAAATCTACGAGCACCACATCAAGGTGCTGCAGCAAGGCCACTTTGAGGATGACGACCCTGATGGCTTTCTAGGCTGAGCGCCCAGCCTCCCCCCAGCCCCAGCCCATTCCAGCCCCCATCTCACCCAAGACCCCCGGAGTCCAGGAGCTGGATGGGGACACTCTCAGCCCTCATAACAGATTCCAGTGAGGGGGCATTCCTCCCTACTCATCTCTTCCCTGTGTTTCCCCGGCATACACACATCTGGCCCCCAGCACATCCTATACTCCATGATAGAGGAGTGTGGGGTGGGACAGGGCCTGCTCATGTCACCCCAGGAGGCTAGCCCTCCCTCCAAGTCTAGGACATTTTTGAAAAAAAAAACAAAAACAAACAAAAAAAAAAAAAAAAAAAGAAAAACGGGGGCTTCCTATCTCCCCTAGATCCTCTTCAGTTCAGCCAGATGTTTCCTATATAAATGTTCTGTTCTGCCTATTCATTTTGGTGGGTGGCCTTTCCTCTCTCCCCCACCGCCCATGCCCCATCCCAGTCTGCCCCCTGGGAACAGCTTGGGGTGGGGTCTCTGGGTCTTCCCTAATCCTCTCCTTTCTTTCTGTTGGTTGTCGCTCCAGCTGGCTGTATTGCTTTTTAATATTGCACCGAAGGTTTTTTAAATAAAGTTTAAAAAAAAATGCCAGTTCAATTTTTATGAATGGAATGGGGGGAGGAGCTTGAAGAGCTATGGGCCTCCTGGGAGAGTCTAGGGTTCAGACAAAATTGTTTGAGGAGGAAGATAGGTAGTGTGTAGGGCTGCCTGACAGCCAGCTAGGACAGGAAGTGCTGCGGGAAAGCAGGAATATTTGCCTAGTTGGGTCACCTCCCCATGCTCAGAACAGTGCCCAGGCACACAGTAGGGGCTCAAATATTTGTTGAGTGACCAGCAGCTAACTAGGCTTTATGAGCATTTTCTCAGTTGTTCTCTCTGCAGCCCCACAGGCAGAGAGCTCATAAAACACCACTTTCTGGAAGAGGCAACTGGCTCAGCCCAGCAAAGATGCTTGCTCAGGGTCACAGGGGGTGGGGTCAGACACCTGTCTTGAGTTCTTTACCCAGTCTTTTTAAGTGTAATTAATGTATTTGGCTTCCTAGCTGTATGTCTGTCAGCTTTGGCACACCACCAAGAATCTAGTCTCTAAGTGTTGAGGGCAGGGGTCTGTTCTGGACCCATGGTAGGGTCTCCAGGCCTCCCGGTCTGGGCCAATTAAAAGGAACGGAAGGAATGAGATCATGGGACCCGCACGTTTTTCCAAGTGAAGATTTTTAGTATTGTTACCAGTTGGAACAGCTACTGACATCACAAGTCCCTACTAAGTTCAAATGCAGTTTTCCAACTCCATTAGAGTTTTTTAAAAAATATACAGATTCGGGGGCCAGAGTCAGACTCTACGCAGCAAGGGCGTCCTCCCTTCATGTACCCGCACCCCCGGTTTGGAGGCTCGATAAAGACCCCTCTTCCCTAGGAAACCGCCTAGGAGAAAAGTGCTGGCCCCCCCCGGCGGCACCCCAGGACGGGACCGCGCCAGCACCGGCCCAGGACGCCTCTTTATCTGGACGCGTCCCCCAAGCCAGGTTCCGGGAGCGCGCATGTGCGCGGGCCCCCGCGGGCGGGCGCGCAGCGCAGACCGGAGAGGCGCGCCCCTCCCGCGTGTTGAAATTCAAACGAGGCGAACTCCCTCCGTGTGGCGCCGCGCGGGCAGAGAGGTCGAGGCAGGGGCGAGTTGGAGGGGGGCCGCATTCCCAGTCCGGTCAAGTCCGAAGTTCCCGGGGCGAGGTCGAACCCGCGGCCAACGTGAGCGGCGGAGGCTTAAAGAGCTGCGGTCCTCGCCTGCGACCCTACGATGGCTACCGAGCAGTGGTTCGTGGAGCCGCTCCCCCCGGGCCCTGGGGAAACACCGCCCCCGGACGACTTGGAACCTGGGGCTCAGCCCTGCGGAGACCCCTCCTGGTTGGCGTCCCCTGGCGGGCCTGGGAACCCCCCCGGAGGCAGAACCGGAGGATGTCCAGGGGCAGCTGCCAGAGGCCTCTACCGCTACTCCTTCTCCCGAGCCCCTGGCCCCCGGCCCAGGCCCCGCCCCTCCTCACCTACCCCTGGACACCATGTTCAGCCCCATCACCGAACAGCTCCGCTACCTGCTCAAGAAGGCAGATGATTTCCAGAGCTACTTGCTTTACAGGTGATGCTGGATGGGGTCCTAGGTCCCGAGAATGAGACTGAGGAGAGGGTAATAGGATGGGCAACACACGTAGGTTCCCAAACTCAAAAGCACCAGGAGCCAGAAACCGTAAATGAAGCTAGTTGATTGCGGATCCCATCTCGAAGAGTGATAAGAACTGTGGAGAAATTTGGGGTTAGGAAGTGCCTACTATTAGGTGGCCCCCAGGGGCCCCCAGTTTTTAACTGTTGGCTTACATTTTGAACTCTGGGCAGGCTAAACAAAACCAATGTGTGCCAGATTTGGCCCAGCTGGCTACCAGTGTGAGAGCCCCACCATGACCACCACCAAAGTATAGTGTGATGCCCAACCCAGGGGGAAAGGGACTGAAATTCTTACATTTCAGTATCCATTGGAATTCTTGTGGAGGCTGTTTAAACCCTAAATTTCTGGGCTCCACCCTACAGGAAATTTTGAGTTAAAGTCAGTGATAGAACTCAGGTGTCAGCATCTTAACAAGTGTTCCCAATTGTTTTGATGGAAATGGTCCCGGAAAATACTCTGAGAAAGGCCTGGCGCAGGCAGAATTTTTAATAGGGGGTCCAGGCCAGGGTTACAAGTCAGCAGTGAGTAGAATGGGAAATGGGGAGTGAGGGACCCTAGGCAAAGGCCCTCTTTTCCCTTTAGCAGGGACCGAGTACAGAAGGAACAGCTGGCAAAGGCCATGCCCACCTTCTTACAGATGTGTGAGCCCTACTTTCTCTACCTGGAGGCAGCTGCACGGAGTGTGCCCCCCATCTATGGAGCCCTGCAGGAGCTGGTCCGAAAGGGGGTGTGTGGAGCAGATTTCCTAGACCCTATGCCCCTTTCTTCACCCCTCAGGAGTGGGAGAGGGTGGGGGGAGGGCATCCCGGTAGGCCAGCTAATCTCATTACATCCCTTCTTCCAAGCAGCTGTTGGAGATCTCCCAACAGCTGACCCTGCGCCTGGAACAGCTGGTCCTCATGTATGCCTCCTTTGGGTTCGTGGACCTGGAGGATACTGACCCCCTAAGGTAAAAGGGTAGGACACAGGAATGGGGGTGGGAAGAGGGTGGAGTCCAGAGCCCAGCCTCACTCCCGACTCTCCCATCTCCTGCCAGCATCTCTTGTTTCTTCTGCGGGAGGTTCTCCATCAGCCCTTCTCACGAGGTGTCCATCTTCAGATACTGTGCCCCAGCCGCCTACACTGCCAGCCGCTTCCCCAGATACCTCTACAAGAAGATGCGTTGGAACCTGGAAGCCACCCCAGAGCCCAGCAGCAGGGGACAAGATTCCCATGTGGATTAGTGAGTCCCCTAATAGAACCAAAGTTCTCCCCTCTCTCCGCAGAATGCCAGCATAGGCCTCTGGTGACCACCACCACCAGAGCATGGAAAGCCAAGCAGGAAACCAAAGATCTTTGAAAGGCCATCCCCACCTTTAAAAAAAAAAAAAAAAAAAAACCTCACCCTCCCATTAACATAAAAGTCCTCATCTTAAAAGTAAGCTGACAGGGAGAAAAGACCTCAGTGTTGAGCCACCTGAGAATTTGAGGGCAAATTCTGAGGAGTTCCACCTCACCCCCAGAATCAAAGCCCTCAACAGAAGAAGCTAGGAAACTGTTCATTCTTAACTGATGCCCCCTCCCCTCCCAGCTACTTCCTGTGCTATCGGGATACATGGGAAGACACAGGCAAGAGTCCGGCCAATTCATGCCCCCAGATCCAGAAGCTGTGGTCCATTGGCCGGTGGGTGCCGCTAGGACCTCCCGAGGATGACCTTTATTCATGGTAGGAGTTAGGGTGATGGCAAAGTGGGTTTGGGGCTTGGAGGGAGGGGCAGAACCCCACCAAAGACCAACTTCCCCCAATATTGTTTCCCTTGGTAATAAGGACAGTATTTTATTGTGCCCTGAAAAGTGCTTTATGCAGACTTGTGTAACAGCCCATTGAGGTCTACACTTTAAGCACCATTTTACAAAGAAAACAGGTGCTCAGAGAGGTTAAGTTACCTGCCCAAGGACACACAGCTAGCTGGGTGATAGGCGAGGTCAGGGCTAGAGCTGTTCAGCCTCCCAGAGCCATTACCCTCTAGGTTTCTCATCAACAAGGAAACCACTTTCCCCCCAGGGTTTTTCCCACCCCCAGCTGAAACAAAGCCGCTTTCAGCTACAGCCTTTCACTTGAGGGGAGGGGCTCCCGAGAAGCAGGGGGCCGCTCACGTCCTGGCCTGTCCTGGCCCCCAGGATTTTGTGCCCACAGCCGCCTGGGGACTACCAGCAGCTGCTGACCATCGGCTTTGAGGAGCCCTCGCACATGCTGGCCACCGACCTGCTGGTGCAGATCCTCACAGGCCAGGCAGGCCCGGCCCGGCCCCCGAGCGCGGCCGGGCCCGCGGCGTGGACCGCGCAGGGGTCTTGAGCCTGGAGGGAGGGTGTAAGCTGGAGCTTGACAGTTCCAAACTCCAGGAGAGGGAGCAGGGGAGGGGCTCACTCGTTCTCCCAGGACACCTCGGCCTCGCCTTCCAAGGGGCCAGGCCGAGCTGGCCAGTGGGCACCGGGTCCTGCTCGGCCGCGGAACCCTTCGTGTGGACACACCAGTTTTGCGTTAAATAAAAGAAAGAAAGAGGTCACAGGCTCAGCCTCCGCTCGCAGTGCCGCGCCCCACCCCTTGGGGCGAGGGAGCCCCGCCCACTCGCGCGGCCTTCCGGGAAATGTAGTCTTTGAAGCAAAACCAAAGTCCCTCGACTGGCGGACAAGCGCTCAAGGCATGCGCAGAGGCGCACATGAAGCTAAAAGGGAAGTAGCGGTGCCTGTCAACAACCGGAACCCAAAAAACCGCAAGTTTTGGGTAGCCGGGAAATTCAACACCCAATGGGGGAAGGGACCCCGGAGCCACGCCCACTCCCGTGTTTTGACCCGGAAGTGGCTTCTTTTTACCGAAAAGACTATATTTCCCGACGTGCCCCAGGAAAGGGCCCCAGGTCAGTTTCCGAAAGGCCAGAGTTAAATCTTCTTCCAGCTTTTGGGTCACGGAGTGGGCAGGTCGTCTTACTCGGCGGGGTGTCCCGGGCGCGGGCGGGTGGGAAAGCCTTAAGGAACTCCAACTTGGGATCTCTAAGCTTAACTCCGACCTTGGACAGGAAAGGAGACCCGGGT